CCCGGCAGCGTGCGGCAGAGCAGTCGCACCAGTACAGGGGCTGGGCGGGCGGCTCTGTGGTGCACAAGTGGCTTGCCCAGCTGAGCTGCTCGCTCCAGTGGTCCCTGTACGAGTCTGCTCGGGCATCCTGGGGCGTTGCGGGGCCTTCGGCTCCCGATCTCCCTCGGCTGAGCGCTTTGGGGTGCCGGGCGTAGGGCGTAGATGGGCGGGGTAGCTCGAGCACCTGTCTCGTTTCTCCACGGATCGTACGTATCCTAAGGCTCTCAGTGGGAGAAGAGTAGAAGAGTACAGAACAAACAGCATAATGCATTAATTCACTGATTCGCAAGAACACACTTAGAACTTGGGTACCGTATTTTTTTGTCAATGTTTCTGGTTTTTTCTGTCTATTTTTCTGGTTTTAGGTTGAACGCAAACGAAAGAAAGAAGGAGAGACACGGAAGCCGGAAAGAAAGAAACGAGCAAAGAAACAAACAAAGAAAGCGAGAAAGGAAGACACCAGGAAGAGGAGAAAGAAAGAAAGGACGAAGGACAGAAAGACAGGAAGGAAGGAAAGGAGGACGACAGAAAGAAAGAAAGAACGAAGACGGGAACAAAGGAAGAAAGCAAGAAAGCAGCACACCAGAATGGGGAGAAAGAAAGAAAGGAAGGAAGGACAGAAGGACAGACAGAAGCAAGGAAATAAGAACGCAGCAAAGACAGAGAGACAGAGCAGAAGAAATGAATATCGAAAGACAGAAAGCCAGCAAGGACGACCAGAAGGAGTGTTAGAAAGAACGAAGCAAAGAAAGAACCCAAGAACGAAAGCAGGATAATTAGACAGCAAGAAGCAAAGACCAGAGACCCCGCTGTTTTGAGCTGTGTGCAAGCTTGCTTGACAGCATAGACGTCGTTCTGGAAACCCACCCTGCATAAAATGTAAATCTTCTTGAAACAATGCCATTCACCATGCAAAGAGTCTCTTTGCAAATGGAAAGCCTGCCCCGGGCGTGCGAGAGTACCGAGCTTGCTTGACAGCAAAAATGCGTTTTGTTGAAACCCCACCATGCGAGCATCCTCATGAGCTGCCCCCCTTAAACCGCCCCGCCGCATAGATTTTGTTGTAAACCAGACATGCGAGCATCGTGATTGCAGATGGGGGGGGCTGCGCCCCCCCAACCCCCCCGCTGTGTAAGCCGTGTGCCAGGTTGCATGACAGCGTAGGAGTCGTGACAGCACATACGCATGTTTTAACCAACAACGCGAGCATCATGCTTGCAAATCGGGGGGGCTGCGCCCCCCCAACCCTCCCACTGCTTTAAACCATGTGCAAGCTTGCGTGACCGCAGCTTTGCTTGACAGCAGATATTGTTGTTTAAAACCAACCATGCGAGCATCTTGATTGCCGCCCTTAAACCACCCCGGCCGCATGTGATTTGTGGTAAACCAGCCATACGACGATCGTGATTGCCAATGGAAGGGGTTGGCCTCCCCCCAACCCCCCCCCGCTGCTATAAGCCGTGATTGCATGACAGCATAGGAGTCGATGCCAAGGATATCCTAGGATGAGTCTTTCAATTAGAAACAGCACCCTTCACCTTGTGAAAAGTGTGCCTGCAATTGGGAAGCATGCGCCGGGCGTGCGAGAGTGGCATGCTTGCTTGACAGCACATACGCGTTTTTTGACCAACCATGCGAGCATCATACTTGCTAATGGGGGAGGCCGCGAGCCGGAATTCCCCAATAGCTTGACGCAGGAACAAGCCCCGAACACTGGAATCTCCCAGTAGCTTGACGCACAAGCAAAGCCTGAACAAACTACACTCCCGCGACAGCTTGACGCACAAACAAGCCCGGAAACCTAGAATCCTCCCAATAGCTTGACGCACAAACGAACCCATATCCCGCCAAACCTTTTAAACATAACTTGGCCGCCAAACCTTAAAGAAAAAGACTCCACCCAGCAGCAACAACAACAACATGAACACCAAGAGCAGTAGCAACACCAGTAACAAATAACAGCAAAAGGCATGCAACCACAACGAGAGCAACAGGAAGAACAGCAACAGAGACACCACCAGCAGCAAAATGCAACAACAGCACCAACACCAGCACCAGCACCAACACCACCACCAACAAGCACAACAACAGCAAGAACAACAACAACTACTACTACTACTACTACTACTGCTATTAGCACTACTATTACTACTACTATCACCACTACTACTACTACTACTACTACTACTGCTACTATTACTATTACTATTACTATTACTCTGACTATGACTATGACTATTTCTATTACTTATTACTAGTACTAGTACTAGTACTAAAACCCAAGGAAGAATTCCAGTCAGAGGTGGAGAACGGTCACGGCCACCAGGCTAGATTCCGAAAACCAAGGAAAGCATAACTAAAACCAGGAAAATATACAAAAGAAACCAGAAAAATACACAAAAAAGAACTCCAGTCAGAGGTGGAGAACGGTCACGGCCACCAGGCTAGATTCCGAAAACCAAGGAAAACAGAACTAAAACCAGGAAAATATACAATAAAAAACCAGAAAAATAGACAAAATAAATACTCGCTCCTTAGAACTTGATCTCTCGTTGACAAGAGCAGCATCCCAATGGGATTGCCAAAAAAGTGTGGCGTGCTGTCATAACGGTAGATGCTGACAGTCCAATCTCGTTACTTGTACTGTTATGAGCTATTATGTTTTCCAGGGCCCTTAATTTCGTGTTACACTTGACAAAGATTGGGCACAAAAGAATATACAGGTAAGTGTTCCGGCCATGCTTTCAGTAACGGAAGTTAGAGCTTGTTTGAAACCATAAATCCTAGACGCCCTCAGGCGGTCTGAATGCACGCTGCATAGGTACTTACAGCAATGACATGGTGGCATATATTCCGTTGCCCATTTCACTCTCAAGTGGTTCAAGACACCATAGCTTTTTCTGCGTAGCAGTGAAAACAGCCTGCTGTCCGTGCAGGGGCAAGTCATTTGGTCTTACAGGCCTTACTGTACCCAGATCCTTCCACAAAAGGGCAGGGGCGCGAGGGGTGTGGGGGTCTGGGTGGGGGTGGTGGGCAACAGATCTGGTCAGGTGCGGAGGAAACCGACGAAGCCGAGATGGATTGGCCACTTGCCGCGGTTTCGTTATTCTCGGGCAGGGTCCGTGATTTACGACATTGGACCATCGATGTGAAATGGCGAGTGAAGCAAGACTGCAAGACTGTGTTCATGGAAATCCAGGCCACAGCGGCAGGAATGTGTCCTCCTGCGCCCTTGGAGCGATCATGTGGAGTGTTTTCGCCGCAACTTGAGGCGAAGCTTCGAGAAAGGACACTGCGGTGGTGCATGGCGACAGATTCCTGCTGTTTCCTCGTTGTCGTCTTGAGGACCACATTGCGGGAAGCACAGTGAGTCCTACATCTTCAAGACCGTGTTGACCGAAAGGATTGACGTAAAGATGAGACGTTTTGTCTCATTCTCCTTCCATGCGCAGGTTTGCCAAATCTCTGAGAGAGCTGGGAAGCCAACGCTTGGTGTGGGCCTTGCCGGGGGGCCGGCCGAGAGCGGTGCTCCTTTGCCTTGTCGTCCTGCCAGGAACAGTTGACACAGTCCGTGCCCGCTGTGTCCGCAGAGGATTGGAAATAACACCGCAACTGCAACTGGTGTGCTGGCGTGCTTGTGCCTGCCTGTGCCTCGCGGCGGCTTGCCGATGGTCGCCTGTGAGGATGATCATCGGCGAGGACAGCAAGGCTGGTGAAGTGGTTGGGAAGGAAAAAAACAAAGCGGCTGCAGGATGCGAGAATCCGGTCGCTGCTATGGCTTTAGCACCCTGGCAGAGCAATGGGGAGGTTTCCGTTTTGACGACGCGAAGCTGCAGACATCTGCACACTGTGAAGACTTGAGGATCTTTCCCCGTCTCCTTCCCAGGCCCGAGCCTTGCGCAGCCGCCAAAAAAGTGCCAGAGCACTCGCGAGTTCAGGTGCCGAGCATTGCCCGCGCTTCCTCGGCACCTTCGCTGGTGCGCGGCTCGACGGCTCGACCGAGCGAGAGAGAGAGAGAGAGAGAGAGACAGAGACGAGTGAATATCACACCCCTTCAATGCCCCACAACACATGGGAGGCCAGGCGGTTTGACACGCCCTTTAAGCCCTGCCAAAGAAGAGGGAGATCTCGAGTCTGTCAGACGCGGGGTGCTCCTGTGCTGGGACCTCGGCCACCTCGGCTGCAGACCGTGTCAGGCCAGCGCGAGTTGCGCGAGTTCATCTCAGCGTGAGTTTCGGCTGAGATTCTTTTGCTGCGAGGCAGTGCCAGGAGGGACCTCCGACGGCAAGGGCCCCAAAAGGGGGGCCTCTAAGCGACGGCTTCTAAATCTCAAAAGCGGCCGTAGGAAGGAGGCAGACCTGGCCTACATGCCTCAACGCTGGGGCGAGGCACCAAATAGGAGTCTCAGAGCTGGAATTGAAAACTCGCCTGACGAGGCAGCCGATCGCTTTCGGATCTATGCGGCTGCTTCTCGACCTACCTCTTACTGGTACCTCAAACCACTCAAACCTCAAGCCGACTCAAGCTCCTGAGTCTTGAGGCAAACACGGGGGAAAGCCAAGATTTGCGCGTACGTCAGAGGCCGCCAAAAAAGACAAAACGCCAGCGAGTCGCTACTGAGTCCGCCGGCGCAGCTGAGGCCCGGGCATTTGGGGGACCCTGGGCAGATCATGCCCTACAAGCGCCTTGGTGGAGCAGCTGCTCTGCGGCTCGCGGCTCTGCTTCTCGGATCTCTGTTCTGCTCAGGTGCAAATTGTGTTTGAGATCCCACAAGCTCTGCCCCGGGCATGACATCTTGAAGTGACGCGCGCGCGCGTTTCACCTCTCGCACTCGTAGCGCGCGCCATCTCCGATGCTGAGACAGGCGGCCGTTTCTCATAAAAATGGAAGTAAAACAGCCTTGCGTTGGCCTTGCGTTGCGTTGCAGAGAAGCGTTGCAGAGCCAGAGAGAGCGCCGCCAGGATCGCGATGGATAAGCACAACCTGGAGAAGGACATCGCCTCGGACTTGAAGGAGCAATTCGAGACTGAGTCCACCGCTCAGGAAAGAAAGCCCCCGAAAGCCCGAAAGCCTTGCTCCGCGAATCCCCCAGATCTGATCGCTGACCCTAGGTATGGCCCCACGTGGCACTGTATGGTCGGCCGCCACTTCTCTAGCTACGTGCATTCCTGAGTTGTGAGCTGAGCCTTTGTGATGATGCGCAGTACGGCATCGATCATCTTTCTGACAGGTAACGCACGAGAAAGCCTGCTACTGCCCAGCTCTTTGACCGCTGCTCCCGAGCACTGCTCCTCGCACCCTCGAGTTCTCATTGAGGCTACTTCTACATCGGTCAGATGGGTCCCTTGCCCGGATGCGCCGTGTCAGGCGGAGAGAACGGTCAGAGCGGACCTTGAGGCGTGATGCTGTTCAAGACCCCCTGAGCTGGCTTGGCCTGAACCGGTTAGAAGTCGAGAGATCTAGTCTCAGCTTGCTCTACGATGGATGCACTTTCCGTTCGTGGGCTTGCATTGTGTCACCAGAGGAATTCAAATTTCCCTGGACTGTATGCTGCCAACGAAAAAGTCCGGGCTGTCGGGAAGTACTCGATCTGTCGCGATCTGTTGTGGCAACTTCGCACTCTCGGAAACAGCTCCTGCCAGCTTCAGGCTTGACGTTCGGAATCTTACTGCAGGCACACTCGGCAGCTTTACAGGCACACAGCTCTGAAACGGAACTGAACAAGGATGCCTGCAAACGAGCACAGCTGCTGAGAAGTTTAGAGTACTTGTCTTTGTTCCTCTTGTATCTTTAGTGTCGTGTAATATTATGACCTGCTCGCGACAAAAACGATTCTGTGGCTCTTGTCGCAGGAATTCGAAGACAAAAGAGCTGGGTAGATAATCAGCATTGCTGGCACGCTGTTCAGTTTGTCCCTTGTAGGTCTCGGACATCATGTACCTCACCTAACCTCTTACTCTGACCCCGTTCGGTTACCTGCTAGTTAGAGGTTAGAGGTTTCCGCCCGTCAGATACTATCTATCTCCGTCAGATACCCACGAGTTAGAGGTTAGAGGTTTCCGCCCGTCAGATACTATCTATCTCCGTCAGATACCCACGAGTTAGAGGTTAGAGGTTTCCGCCCGTCAGATACTATCTATCTCCGTCAGATACCCACGAGTTAGAGGTTAGAGGTTTCCGCCCGTCAGATACTATCTATCTCCGTCAGATACTCACGAGTTAGAGGTTAGAGGTTTCCGCCCGTCAGATACTATCTATCTCCGTCAGATACCCACGAGTTAGAGGTTAGAGGTTTCCGCCCGTCAGATACTATCTATCTCCGTCAGATACCCACGAGTTAGAGGTTAGAGGTTTCCGCCCGTCAGATACTATCTATCTCCGTCAGGTACCCACGGGTTAGAGGTTAGAGGTTTCCGCCCGTCAGATACTATCTATCTCCGTCAGGTACCCATGGGTTAGAGGTTGGAGGTTTCCGCCCGTCAGATACTATCTATCTCCGTCAGGTACGCGCGGGTTAGAGGTTAGAGGTTTCTGTCCAACCTTCGCCCGCCAGCTACCCACCCTCCGCCCGTCAGCAACCTCCACCCGTCCGCTACCCACCTTCCGCGCTCCGCCCGTCAGCTATCCGCCCCCCACGCGTCAGGAACCTCCGCCCGTCAGCTACCCACCCTCCGCGCGTCAGCTACCTCCGGCCGTCAGCAACCTCCGCCCGTCAGATACTATCTTATCTCCGTCAAGTACCCACGGGTTAGAGGCGAGGTTAGAGGTTTCCGCCGGCGAGGTTCCGCCCGTCAGATACCAACTATCTATCTAACAACCCCCCCCTGCCCCTCCGCCCGTCAGCAACCTCCACCCGTCAGCCACCCCTCGCGTCAGCAACCTCTGCCCATCCGCTACCTGCCTAACCTCCGCCCGTCAGCTACCCACCCTCCGCCCCCGTCAGCAACCTCCGCGCGTCAGCTACCCACCCTCCGTGCGTCAGCTACCTCCGGCTGTCAGCAACCTCCGCCCGTCAGATACTATCTATCTCCGTCAAGTACGCACGGGTTAGGGGTTAGAGGTTCCGCCGGCGAGGTTCCGCCCGTCAGATACTAAAAATCTATCTAACAACCCCGCCCCCTCTGGTCGGGTGCGCCCCTCCGCCCGTCAGCAACCCCACCGGGGGGATAGGGGTGACCCGGCGTACGCTCTGGTCTCGGTTCACGCTGGCAGCGACACTGCAGCATTGCTCTTGGGTGGATGCTCTGCATTTGCATCTTGCAGAATGCGGTTGCGCGTAAACGGCGCTTTTCGGCGGAGTCTCGAATGCTGCGTGAGGTGCAGCTCCGGTGTTCGACTTCGCCAAGAGCATGCTTGCAGCGCAACGCAGCTGAGCCGTTGGCTTTGCAGAAACTGGCTTGCAAAGAACGGCCTTTGCGGCCCCGGGTCGGTGCCCACGGGTCGCGGCGAGCTGAGCGCGCTGCGGCCGAGGGCCGTGAAGCAAACTGGAAACCGCCGCGCTGGCCGCTGGCCCCTTGCGGATCAGTTCTGCATGAGCTTCTGCGACTCCTCGGGCGCCGGCCTGCAAGCCCTGCCCACCACACTTCTCCAGATTCTCAGCACAGGACAACCCGAGCAGCCGAAGCACTGGCCCTGGAAATCTTTTCTGTGAACGCCGGAATACACCAGCAGGGCATGGCGACCGCTCTGCTGCGCCTCTGAATCTGAATCCTTGACCGACTGTCGCATACTAGGGTTGGATAGAGGCTGGGACAGAGGGAGGGTGCAGGGAGCATCAGAAGTGTCTAAGTCCGTCTTTTTGCACCTCAGTCTCGCCTTCGACTGGCCCAAGTCAAGCCTCGGCAACACGCCCTGGTCACTACCTGGCTGGGGCTTTGGGCTTTGTTTGGCACACGTCTCAGCATGAGCGATGCCATGGAAGTGGACGTGGATGACTTGAACTTATCAGTAGCAACGGAAGTTCAAGCTCCGCTGGCTCCGCTGAAGCGCCCTTCACTGGAGTCATCGGAGACGGAAGCGGAGACTCTGGAAGCCCGCTCCATGCAAATGCTGATGCAGTGTATGTGTGATATGGCCGTTCTACAGCCGGGATTGATGCGTGCAGTCAGCGCGCGCACGGGCATCCGGGTTTTGGCCAGAGTGGCTTTGTCGAAGCGCGTCCAGTTCGAGCACCAGACCTGGAGTTTTGTGACGGCTGAGATCGGCGAGTTCTGGTCGCACAGTTGGCACGGCTCTCCATGGAATAAGCTCTTCACTGCGCTGGCCATGCAAAACGGTTTGAAAGCAATCCTGGCAGGGACAATTTCTGGTTTGTGCGCCATGGCACTCTTCCTGTCCGAACTCTTACCCGGCCTGCCTCTTTACGGCGATGAGGGCGGCACTCGTCTGGTCTCCTTTTGGTCCCTTGCTGCAGCCTTGCTGGCGGCCCTTCCGACGCTCTTCTTGTCGAAGGGGAACAGCAGCGTCTTCCTGGACTGCATTTGCGTTGATCAGCGAAACAATGCCAAGAAGGCCGAATGCATCGTGAGCCTCGGAGGCTTCCTCAAAAAATCCAAAACTCTCGTGGCCTTCTGGGATCCTACCTACTGCCAGCGTTTGCGGTGCCCTGAGTTGTTTCGCGCTTGCAAGTTGCACCGCCTTGCGAATTCAAGGTAGCGGTAATCGTGGTAGTGCTTGTGATTGTGGTGTGGTCGTGGTGGTAGTAGTAGCAGAAGTAGTAGCAGTAGTGGTAGTTGTGGTGGTAGCGGTGGTACTGGTAGTGGTAGTAGTGGAGGTGATAGTGGTGATAGTGGTGGCAGTGGAAGTAGAAGTTGTACTTGTTGTTGTTGTTGGTTGAACCGTACACTGGGTCCACGTTGTCTATTTGTTGCCCACCCCCGCCCCACCCCCCCAACCACACCGCCACCCCACACTCCTCCACACGCTTGCCTCTCCCGAGCGCATGGGCGGTGTGCGCCCGAGAGCAAGGGCGGGTGCACACCCGAGAGGTGCGCGTGCATCGGAGAGCTTCTGCGCGAGCGCGAAAAGGGGTGGAACAGTTCCGGACATGCCGGGATTTTCTGACGGAAGGCAGCCAAAGCAGTGCGGTTGTAGCAAAATGCCTGTAAATAAAGTGCAACCCTTGAGCAAAGCGCCGTGAGCATGCATGAATGGGGATCCCGAAAGGCAATGGGGCCCCAGTGTACGGTTGAACCTTGTTGTTGTTGCGCTGTGGTTGTTGCAGTGGTCGTCGTCTTTGAAGCTCCGTTCCGGCCAGTTCTGGCTGCCGACAGAGGCCAAGTGATATGCAATCAGTTGGCCACCTGCAGCTCCACAAACCCACGAACTCCAGTCGTGTGACAGGATAGGCCTTTTCCAGGCGGGAAAGCTCATTCTGGAGGCATTTGATCAGATGGGCGCCCCGAAGAGAAAAAGTCACTCCGGAGAGGTTTGGGTTTGGAGTTGCAGCGGGAATTCAGAGATCATTTTGTTTCGGAGACGGCAAGCGTCTATGGCAACACTTTCCAGCTGTGGTATTCCTGTGTAGAGATTACCCTAAATCGCCGAAGCCCTGCAGATCTGAGTCCACATTCGGCTAGCGATTTGGAGCTTTTGTGCCAAATCACGTGTGGTGGATATTGCAAGCCCTTGACAAAAGCAAATTGAGGGCTTTGCGATTTACTACAACCGAGGTGGTGCCTGTTCGAGCTTGCTGCCTTCCTGAAGAGTCACGGTGCTTCCAGGGCCGCACTGCTGGTGAGACCGACACTTCTGGGAGGGTGTACGTTCGCACTTGCTTGCGGCATGTCTATAACTATGGTGATCACGTTCTTCATCAGGTGGAATGATCTCATCTTGGCTGCTTTAGTCTTTATGTGCTGGGGCTTCCTTGGTTTCACCGCTGCGGTCGCCATTATGCGACATTATTACGAACAAGTACGGGACATGCAGGAGCAGATGCGAAACTTTCAGCTAGACCAGGCAAGATGTTGGTGCTGCGAAAAGGGACACCAAGGAGCAGATGGGAGGAGTCTCGCTTGCGACAGGGAGGTGTTGACAGACTGTTTTCGCCACTGGTTTGGGAGCTGCGAGGAGTTCGAGGTGCGTGTGCGCTCTTCGATTTCCGGTGCGCTTGCTTCGCAGCTCGGAAAACAGGCATTCCCGTACCATTGGCTCTTGGGCTGTACATCACCAATGTTGTGGTTTGAGATGGACTTGTTTGCCTCGAGGTATTATGAAGACGCCCTGCGTCATCTCCCTAACTTGTTTGGGTGGTGGCTGGGTGGCTTTCCGCTGCTTGTTTATTGGGTGATGTTTCTGTCGGAAAAATGCTGTCGACCGGCTAGATCGAGATGGCTAAATGCTCTGCAGACGCTCTCCATTGCATTCCTTGTTTGCCCAGCTTATCTTGGCCTCTTCGCCTACCAGATAATGCTGTCATGGATGTGGCCAGGGCGTGTTCCAGGAGCTGTACTCTTTGCAGCCACGACATTTGCCGTGGCTCAGATGCTGTGGCATCCACAACCAATGAAGCGCCTGCTTCGCGCAATGTTCCGGAAGACCCAATCCAAATTCTGATTGCCCCCAGTACCTGGCTCTTTGAAAGCTAACTGGCATGATTCAACTGGGAGTGGCTAAGTCGCTGCCCGAAAGAACAACGGCCAACCGTCCTTACATCGTTTCTGCGAGGTTTCAAGGAGTTGCGCTCGAAGTTTCAGGACCGCTGGCCGATCGAATTCTCAGAAACTGGTATGCGGCATACGTTCAGCAAAAAGCATGCAATTTCAAGCGCGGCCAAAGAGCATGCTTGGATGGTCAGAAAAACCTGTCAAACACGAGCGAATGCAAAGCTCCTGCTCTCTTCCACCCTTTTGCGAGGGCATGGCTTGCAGGTTATTGCACATCCACCTTCTAAACACGTGATTTTTGTCTAGATTGTGTTGCACGCTGTTCTTTATATCTGTATACCAGAGAGGTTCAACTTGTATTCTTGGTGCCTTTTGAAAGCCGTGACGTCCGGCATCCATCTCTTACATGATCCTCCACAACGTTGTTTGAGCTTGGCAGGCTCACAATCAAGAACAGCGATCGCTGCTTCCTCTTGCCCAATGACCAAGCCTTGGTAGCTGCAGTGCGGTATGGCAAATTGTCTCCGACAGCTTGATATGCACAATATTGAAGCTGGACTTTCCGCATAATTCAAGCTGGACTGTCCTGTCCACATCAAGCTTCTTGAGGGGTGCCTGCAGCTTGTTGGACTTGACAGCGCAAAATGCAACTTTTCTGACTGTCTGAGAGCACCTTCTGCAAAGCTGGTCTAGATTCCGAGCCATGTCATGCTTCAGAGGGCTCTGGAACTGGTTCTGGGGATCGATTGGCGATGTGACCTTAGCGGCGAGGTGGCGGCCTAAGATATTCGAAGCGCTGGGTGGGTGTAAAGGCGACGCGGGCGATGAAGCGCACACCCGAACATGCGCACACCCGTAATCTCCATCACATCGTTCTTCTTCGGTGGCAGGGGACTGCGTACGACCTGGCCTTACGTGTCATCACACTATCATGGGGGTCAGCAGCTTGACGAAGTGAAGGTAGGGTTGCAGTGGAACTTGATTCATAATTGCGGCGCTCTTCTCTATGTATGTCACGCTCAAAGCTCGCCACCAGGGAGGTGAATAGACACCGAAGCATTCTCCATTCGGATGACTGCCTCTTATATGTCATCGCATGAGCTGTGGTGACAAGTCTATATGTTGAACCCGCGAGCCTGCCACGCAGTTTGCCAGGTGGTAGTTTTTTTGCGCAGCTCCGCTGTTACGCAACCCTATGGTGGAGACACGCAGATCTGAATAGCGGCAATAGTCTTAGTAGTCGTCGTACTGGTACCAATCGGTTAACCGGTCCAGTGTTGCATAAACATACTAACCAGCATAATGAAGGCAACAACAGTCATTTCATTCACACGCAGCGGGAGGATATGTCTCGGGTGAAACTGAATGTCCTCGCTTGGCGAGTGTTCGACCTACAGCTCTGCTGATTGCTAGCGCGGTTCACTGCTTCACGGCAAGCCGGGCCTCAGCATTGCACTTGCTCACGTTCCGCCCCTCAGGGCTGCAAACTGTGAAGATGAAAGGAGTTTGCCGTCCGTGGCTGGGGAGGTCTGATTTTCTAGCCACCTGCATAGATAGCTGACTGGCAGATTTGCAATTTTCACCGAGCTGACTCTTACGCTGAAGTTTTTGCACCCTGTAGCTGTCTCGAGCGTGTCAGTGTCGTCTAGCCTCGCTGTGAAGGCTCCGTGCGAACCACTAGTTCAATGTTGAAAAGTAGGCGGTGAGGCAGGGAGACCCTCAGCAGAGGTAGGCCAGGCGCCATCTCCAACTCGTCTGTTGTGATCACCACTGGCGGAGCAACTCCTGCCGGGCTTGTGCTCGTCACATGCAGCTCTCCTGTTCCCGGATGTGAGATAGTGGAGGTGACTGCCTTTGGCGGCGGAGGCCCCAGGGGAGAACCTCCTCCTGGAGTTCCCGCTTTGGCTGATGCAGCGGAACCTTTGCCCGGCCCTCCTGAAGGTCGATCAGAACTTGAGCCACGTCCTGGGAGATTTACCGGTACTGGTGTTGGCGGTCCCTTCGGTGCAGAGGCCTCCGGTGCCGCTGCTTCTTCAGAGTCCGAGTCCCGAATGGCGTCGCTTGAGGGTGGTGATCTGGAAAGGTGAGTGCGGCGCCTCACCGGAGAGTTCGCCCTGGCGCCATGTTTTTTCGGCGTCTCTGGCATCACTACCTAGAAAAGCAGACAGCTATAGAATTGAGCCTGCATTCAAGAGATGCAGAGCCTGCAAACAGGAAAGAGACCCAGATCGCAGTCAGCAGGTCCTGCAGCTACTTGAGACCGGAACCAAGCAAGGAGCTGGAGGTTGGACTGCAGGTGCTGTGATGGGCCGTTGATGCGACAGAGCTAGCCGTGCCGATGCTCATTTGTCGACGTGCCTCGCATGCAATAGCAGTCTGGGGAGTATCTGCATCTGTGAGGGAGAAGCTCCTCTCCATGAAATCAAAGCGGCCTATTGTCGCCTCCGTATTTCGTGCCTGATTTCAGGCTCTGGTAGTACGCGATGGCTGAAGGAGGCACTTCGTTGGGGGTGAGAATCACGCCGTTCTTGCTACGGAAAAATTTCACCCCTTCCTGGGAAGCCCTCAGAGGGTTGACCGCCACTAACATGGAGGAACTTTCCCTGAAGCCAGAGGTGCCGGGTTGGCCATAATCTCTATCCGAGATGAAATGGACGTGTTGGCGTCCCTCCCTGCCGCGACCTCCTTTGCCACGGCCTTTGGAGATCTTGCTCTGCGGCAGCAATCCTTGCTGCCGTATCGGGTCATACAGGGACCAATAAATACCATGGTACAGCATTGCGGGGAGCATCTCCTCCGTGAGCGCCTCCAAAACCTCAGTGGAGTCAACATCGGAGCGCGAATGCCCCTGCACTGCCCGAATATACTTCGTGCCATGGCTGTCCCCCAACTCATATCTGCTTTTCGAGTTGTGGCGAACAATTTCCATGATGTCACCTGCAGACGCTTGCTGGTTGTATACGCGAGGCCACGACAGCACATCATCCAGCTTTGCCCATCCTGCTGTAGAGACAGAAATATGAGGCCTGTGACCGTGCCGCAGACAGGCCGCCAACGCTTTGGATACCTCAAATGAAAATTTGGTATCTGGGTTGGTGGAGTCCTTGCTGTAGTCACCGAGTTCGCCTGGCTGACCCTTTCATGTTAAAATGGAGGATCCCCTTGGCATGACAGAAGGTGAAGCTTGAGGCAGAAGATCACTACCCCCAGCTGTCGGGGGAGAAGCTCCACCCTTTGACCCGCTCGCAAGCTCCTTGTCCGGAAGGGGAGTAACTCCTCCTTCCGTTCTGCTGTCAGATGACGGGACCTCATTGGAAAGGTCATAGCCCAGAGCTGTAAAGGAGTCGCGAGTCTGCTTGAGTGGTATTTCGAGCATACCGCTCCACTCGCGGAGGTACTCTCCTAAGGAGACGACGTCCTTTGTCGCAATTTGGAGCAGCACCGCTCGGATTTTCACCGAGTCAAAGGAGTGGATAAGTTGGTTTGTCTTCTTGCCGCGTTTTTGCGATCCAGAGAAGGCGGCTTCCACCTCTATCATAGGCCGGACGAAGACCCGCCGCAAGATGCCTATTCGAGGCTCTGTGGAGATACACCCCTGGCCGGTCCTCGAAGCTTCTTGGGGGAGGAGTACTCGAATCTGTACCAGCCATGCTCATCCACTGTGGGGAATCCAAGCTTCGGCAGCAGTGATTCATTCGATAGACCTGGGCGAGTGGCAAGGAAGGTCGTGAGAAGAGCAGAGGCGATCTCGGGAGTCGGTCTCTCCGCCTGGGTGAGTCCATCACGTAGCTGCGGAGCCACGGTCACCGTTATTCGGTGATTGTTCAAATCGGTGATGGAGCCAGCGCAGTCTGATATCAGACTGGGAAAAAAAGGAGTATACCCTGCAGCCTGAAGAACCTTAGCCGCCTCCTCATTGTGATCTTCAAGAGCTTGCTGTTGAGAGGGGTCTGTTGAGGGAGGATCTCCACTCTTGGCTTTAGCTGCAGGGGGAGTAACTCCTCCCTTCCCAGTGGCTGACTCAGTCGATTCTACTGCGCCTTTTGAGGCACCCTTATGTGCCGGATAACTTTCGCCGTAAGCACGAGCAGAGCGCCTCCACTGGCGCAAAAAGTTTCTATACGTCACATGTGGCAATTGGTCCCTGACCCGCCGTCTGCAAAACTCAGCATATTCCTCCTTGAAGGATTGATCTTGAGTAGATTCAGGACGAGACATGATGGTTTTCACTTTGAGAGAAAACCTGCGGAAGTTGGACATAAGCTGTCTGAAGGCTGCAATCTGAAGCATAAAAGTAGCCTGAGCTTCTGGCCTCCAAGGCAGGACAATGGCCTGTCGTCAGAAGGATGAGACTGTGTTGGAAGTCACTGAGTCTCAACCGAGGGGCCTATTTTGCAATCTACAGCTCGAGCATCCTGAAGCTTAGATTAAAACCCCCTGGGCCCCTTGGGGAGAAGCTCCACCAGCTGTACACCCCTGGCTTGGGGAGCAACTCCTCCTTGGCAGGGGGAGAAACTCCACCTCAGGGAGCAACTCCACTAAATCTTGTATGCTCAGTCCGCTGAGGCTAACAGCCTGTTATCGGCCACATCCCACACAGCCGTAGCTAAATTTAGCTTACGGTCCTCTTCATAGAAGATGGCCCTAAGGGCATCTACTTCTTGCAAGTAGGTGGTCCGGACATCGATGGGAAGGTACTTGCTCACGTAGGATATGATGTACGTCTCCCGCTCCATAGATGCGAGGTCAAACCGATGAAGCGCCAGGCTTTCCGGAGCAAGGAGCTCACCAGTGCCCATACGGGCTATTGTAAGAAACTCAAGCCCCATCTCGGCGAGCACCTGACGCCGGCGAAAACGGATCTGAGCCCGCTTTCCGGGAGTAACTCCACGGAAAGGTTGAGGACTTCATCCTTGGTGATAAGTCCCAAAGCCTTGACTCTTCCACGCA